TATATATATTTATTATTTTTATTATATTAACCTTTCAGCCGTGCCTGGCTAACAATACAAAAGTTACAAAAACGCGGAACACGTGCCTCATGTTACCATATCCAATAATATAAACTGAACAAAGTAACTTGTCTTGGCTGTGTTTTAGTAGACTAGTATTTTGTAAAATAAGTTTTCAAACATATTTTTCCTAAAACATAGAACAGTAAATAAAGAAGTAAAGCAAACAATTATCTCTTCTAGTTACAACCTTTGTACTCGGTTGCAGCGTCACGTAGGTTGCTAAGCCTTTAAAAACTTTGCACGTGGAGGATATAAAACAAAATATTTTTTTTGGTTTTATATATACATTTGAATAACTACAAAATCATAAGTTACTACATCAATACCATAGAATTCTACTATAATTTATAAAGCTTAGTAACTAAGATGTATTTTAGTCTAAACAAATATGAAATTTCAAGCAAACTAAACACTCACCCTACCTTCTTGAAATATTGGTTCAAAAGAAAAAATGGCACATTCTGAACTTCCGATTGGTTATTCATGTCATATATAGAAGCAAGTGTATATAAGGGAGCGTTTCCAAAACTGGAAAGAAGTGGGTGGGGTGCCACTGTGTTTGATTTACCACATGAGCAATATCTTAGCAAATAGAAAAGATAAGACGTTCTTATTCTATATTTTAGCTTGTCAATGTCTGTACTTTAGGTTTCTAATTCGTACGAAACTATAGACTTAGTATTTTGACATCACAAACATCTAATTTAAAATAGTGCTGCATTCAACATACCACGTGACATACAAAACTCGATGTTTATCTCTATTTTTTTATATATTTACCTTTAAATACTATTAAGTACTACAATTTGAATTATAATCTACAGTATGATACCAGACTTATGGACATGAATAATTCATGAAATAGTAATTCAATAGCATTTTGAATGCGAGTAAACAAACGAGATGACATTGGATAATGAGTGCTGTTCACTAGCCGTCTTCCCTTTAGACCATTAGTTGAAAATCAGGAACAGCAATGAGCGAAAACTGAAGAACAAAAACAAACAGACGTTATGCCAGTTCAGGTTAATCTAACACCTTAATGTTTCAATTTGTATCTTCGCTACTTGAAAGTGGACTTATCGAAAGTTATAAAATCCTATTTTTTGTTAAATTTAAACTAAAACAAAATGTAAGAGGAAGATTTTTTCAGACATTTTTAAATTATTAAAGTATTATTGAAATATGTGTACATTAAAATGTGTCCAATGTTCTTGAAATATGTATATTAAAATGTGTCCAATGTCCTTGAAGTAAAAAACAAAACCGATTGAATGTTAGACCGCAATTCATCACCAAACAAGGATCTTTCCATCCATTGTTTGTTTGCAGTTAAGCACACAGCAACACAATATATTATCTATGTAGTAAATATCTCCTTGTAAGGGAAACCTACCGTAACTTTTTTGTACTACATTTTTCAAGGATAAAACAAGTAACATTACATGACTGCATACTTGTTGATTGAAAG